ACAAAAAACGGAACAAATTTAGAAATGCAAAAATCTGGCATAGTTGAAAATATTGCATTGCCGGGGCCGGGAAAGAGAGAGAGGGAGATAGAAAGGAAAAAGAATGGTCTGCCAGAAACGAATTGTACAACGACGAGTTTATGGCAATCATAAAAATACACTTTGAAATGAGAAAATAATTATAGAACGCTCATTTCGACGTTAATTATGAACAAGATGAATTTTATTTCCCTGGCATCCACCCACACAGGCACGCACAAACACACACACTCTTACTCATATACACTCGCTCGCTCTCTCGCTCTCGCTCACCCACCCACAATAATGTTTGGTTGGCTGATTTCAAAGCAAACTAAAACCTACAACTAAGTTCAACAAATTAAAAATCATATTTATGTTGACTCTGTTAAGACTTAGAAAAACCCACAGACACACAAACACACGCACACAAATACAAACGCCCAACCACTAACACAAATATTAATATGAACCCAGCAAGCATTTAGAAGTGTGTGACTCACTTCCATTTTAAGATGCCACTTCTGCGACGCTTCTAATCCTATTAAATGCGATAGTATGTACATTTACAATAACAAAACTACTGTTGTCTACTTTCTATCGTCACGTAGTTACTACTTAGTGGCGCCAAGAAAGTTAAAAGAAGGTGTCGCGTGTGATGACACTATCTAGTGACTGCCATCGGATAAAACAGCGATAGTTTGCCATTATTTACGAATTGAACATAAATAAGACTTTATTCTATCTGAGGAATATAAGACACTATGGCGCAGTGGTAAGCATGCCAGCTTTGCTCTCTGAACACCTCGGTTCGATTCCCAATCCAGACATCACATTTTTAAAACGAAAAAAAAATGTTTGAATATTTCATCTAATAAGTAAGAGTTCTATGTAAATTAACATTGGAAAACTTAACAATAACAATAAAAAAATAATAATTTTTTTTTGTTTTTTGTTTTTTCACTTCCAATAACTATCGAGGAAGTGACTTCCACGATTTTTAGAAAACTATCGCGGGCGTGGTTCATCCCTTCCCGAAGGATGATCCTTCCGGGGTGAGAAAGCGATATCAGACGCGATGATTTCAATCGCTTAGGCGTGACTTCTAAGTGAGTTGGTGGATAGATTTTGCTTGCTGGGAAGTGGCAAAAAAAAAAAACATACAACACTAAGTACAAGAGGGGAAAATAGAAATAAAATAAAACGCATAAAATAAATTGAAATATAATTACAAGTTTCGCATGGAAACGAAAATTCAGATCGACAAAGTGTTGTCGTTGAAATTTAAAATAATTAGGAAATCAGTAGCAGAGATTATTGTCCCCAGGAGTCGGGCGACTGATAGTAGGGAAATTGCATTTCTATATTCATTATGGGTGGAAATTACTTATCTTTCCTATTTGAGCTCCCGAAATATTTACAAATCGCTTAAATATTATTTCAGGGTATGGCACTGTTATGTCAAGTTCAAAGCTTGAAAAGTGGTTTTATCGGAATGTTGTGTAGATATTCTATACTAATATAAGGGTTGAGTTATTAACTGATTCATTGAAAGGTGTTTAGAAATGCGATTGTGGAAATGGGTACTTTGAGTGTACGACAAGTAGTAAAAGGTAGTAAATATTTAAGAATTCGGAAGTAGTTACCTCACGGAATATTTGCATGCAGGTATGTACTAAATATTCTAACATTTGCAAAAACTGCAGCCCTCAATTTTTACACCCTATAAAACAATGTGTTGGGTATATTATAAGTTTGGTTGAGTCTAAAAGCCTGTAACACCTGAGTCGTCCATCCTACAAGTAGCAATCATTGCCCGATCATCACGAAATTGTTTTTTAGGGTAAGAATATAAGTCTATTTCATAAATGTATCCTTCCATTGAAAACCCTTCAATGATTGCCTTCAGATACTTTTTTTTAGATCTGCTTTCCGTTACGATCTTTTAAAGTTATTCTCCCCATAAAGTTATTCTCCCCTTCTACTCTTCGTAGAATACTGAAATATTTTCTCCATTGACCTCTTAAAGGGTATTTTATATTTTCCCTTTGGCCAAGGCCCATTTCCTCTCTGAGGCTGTAGTATCCATTACGAACATCAAACACCAAGTTTGAAAAATTCCGGCAAATAATATCGCGGAAATGAACAAAGGAGCCTAGGCCCAAAATCGAACTAAGTCAACCTAAAACTCCTTTGTTCATCTAGGAAGAAGCCAGCCGGTGACTTAAGCCAACGAAATATGCTCTTTATGTATTTCCAGCCTAAATATTGTAAAAGTGGCATTTAGGGTTCAGATAGAACTTGGACATTGGTATACCCTACACCACATACTGCTATGTCTTTGGGCATTTGCCTGGATAAGGGAGCGGGATAGACCCATAATTACTTTTGAGGATATTATTGACTCGATTTATGCATGCAGTCCATACGTCCCTTCGTCTGTCCATGTATTTTTATGAACGAAATGCAGGTGGCATTTTCCAAACAATATTTCTTTGGCCCAAGGACGACCCCTATTGAAATTGGTGAGAATCGGTTCAAATTTAGATATAGCTCACAAATATATGTCTTCAACCGATCTCAGGTTAATTGTGCACCAAATGACCAATATCACTTCAAATGTTCTGAATTTTGGCAAATCCGACCAAATTTAGTCTAGAGCAAGTACATCAAATTTTGTGAAATTCGGTTCAGATATAGTTATAGCCATATACAGTGTGATATAAATAAACTGCAACTAAGTCAAACGCCATAGTGTTAACATCTTTTTTTCAAATTTTATTGAATAAAAGCAAAAAATGTCGGAAATAGCATCAAATTTTAGAATAAGTTTAGATTTGTTCAAATTGGTTACCTTTGGCACGAATTATGGTCTTCAAACGGCTAATGAAACCGTCACACGCTGCCCGCATGTTGCTATGCTGTAGTTTGGCTCATTCCTAGCGAAGGGCTTGAGGTGATCGACACTTTGGTATTTTTTAAGGCCGACCTTGCTTTCCAAAATACTCCAGACACAATAGTCCAATGGATTGGTATCCGGAGATTTTGGTGGCCATCTGGAAAATTTTCACCAAAATGCTTTTGTATGCTTGTAAACAATATAATGAGCTGTCACTGGAATAATTTTAACAGCTGTCGGTGGCTTAGGAATGACAACAGTCTGAAGTTGGTTGCAGTTTTTTCATCTCACCCTGTATATGGATCTTTCTATCTCGCCGAGCTGAGTCGGTCTAGCTCTGATTGTCCGTCCGTCCGTCTGTCCATGTTAATCACGCTACAGTGTGCAATTGTATTCCGATCCTCACGAAATTGAAAATGGAGGTGGGATTAGGGTTAGAATAGAATCCTATTGTTTTTGGAGATGATCCCATAATATTTGGGGATTGAAGTGTACCAAAAACTGAAAAAATTCCTGCTTTTGCAGTTGCTCTATAGGCCATAATTATGAACCAATTGACGCGGAAATTTGCATGGATTTAAAGTTCAGGGATGGGCAGAAGCTATCCGATTTGGATGGTAATCGGACAATATTTAACGGGTAAAATAAATCATAACTTTTATGTCAAAAATACGAATATTTCCACTAAACTGTCGATATTTTTAATCCCGGTCAATTTGAAAATTTAGTAAAAGGTCAATTCTGAGCATTGCAGTGTTGCAGATAGCCAAGATATGGGATATATAGTAAACAGATCTTAGTTATTCTCCTTATAAGTCAAGAATCGCTGGACAAGTTTTCACACTTCTCAGCAACTTGGAAGGGTCTCTTGTCAGAAAAGGAGAGAAAATCTATAAAAATCGCGTCAACATATGGCAATAAAAAAGGGAATACATTTTGTTAAATTTTTCAATTTTTGTAATATTTTTTATTGCATGCGATTTTTTCAATTTGACTTACAATTTTGAATTGTATATTTTGCACAGTTTTTTATACCCTCTACAACACTATATGTTGAGGGTATTATACACAGGTCGCAATTATCGTCCGATCCTCACGAAATTTTGCAAGGTGGTAGGTTTAGGGTCAGAATTAAAGCCTTTTGAAGATGTACATTTAGGGGTTCAAATGGATCAAAAAAAAAAAAAAAAACAAAAATTTACTGACTTTGCAGTCGCTCAAATAGGTCACAAATGAAAAAAAGGACCGGACGAAGTCTTGCATTTTGGATGACCATTGGATTATAATTAGCTGTAAAATGGACCAACTGAGGAATGTGTAAATATGTGCAAATCCCCCCAAGTGACATTGTTTCAGTAATGAAATATCCAAAAATGGATTCGGACATAACAGGGCTTCCAAAATATTGTAGTGCTGTAGGGTATAACATTGTCGGCCCCGTAGGACCGTATATTTTATTTTGTCCCCTAAGAAAAATCAGCGTTTGTTGGTCAGTTGGTGGTTTTTTAAATATCCTTTAACAGTGTTGTATTTCAGATTTTATGCTTCATAAAAATTGAAAATTGATGGCCCGTACAAAATTTTATTGGGTAGGAACGTATAGTGTAACATAATAAAAAATCAACTCTGGTGTTCAAAAAAACAAGCAAATGCAAATTTTGAATTAAAATAACCAAAAATTCTTGACTACCCCCTTTTCGTCCTCTCTTCTTACCACTGGCAAAATTACATATTTCAAATGTGCTCAACTATCCTTTAAACTTGCAATTGATACCCATTCCCATTCGATTTAATAATTCCGCAATAAACAAAAACTACTATTCTATTCTTAAAAACTTGATATATGGCAAAAATCCCCATTTATCTCAAATCAAACTCCAGCAACAAAAACAACAAACGCACACACATACACACACACACTCTCACTCACTCATCCACTTGCATTCATACATTTCAAAAATTGAAATTGATTTTTCCTTGATTTGATTTCGATAATATCACATTTCTCCCAACTCTGTTGTTCTCTTCCGTTCCGTTTTTTTTGTGTGTCTTCTTCCCTTTTTTTTGCGTTTTTCTGTTTTAGGTAAAGCAATTGGTCAAAAAACCCATATCATGGCTGCGGGTACGAGATGGACACATACTGACCGTTGACCAAACAACATTCATTGCCGATCAGAGATTTCAATCTATTTTCACTGTAAACCCCGAACGCTGGTCATTGCAAATCAAATATGTGCAATTAAAGGATGCAGGCATTTATGAATGCCAAGTGTCCACGGAGCCAAAGGCCAGCGCCATTGTGTATCTGCATGTGGTCGGTAAGTATATGGACGTGGACGATGACGACAACGACGATGGCGATGGCAACGACGACGACTACTTCGTTTTGTTGTTTCGTTTTTGCATATTCATGTCACATCAGTGGCTTTGTAATAAAATGATGGCACTTAATCACACTACAGACACCATTGCCATCATAGCCGGAAGGCCAACAAATGGCCAGAAAGTGAATCAGACCGCCAGACAACAAATTGCCGTAGCAATAAAAATAGGGATGTCAAAAATGCCAAGAGAAAGATAATATTTTGTTTCAAAATTTTATTTTTGGCAAATGAAGCCAAAGGGAATGAGTTCGGGGAAAATAGTTAAAATTGGAAGTACAAACGGAAGTTCGTTAAATAATTATGAAAAAACTGATATCTGATTGTTTAGTCTTCATTGTGAGGTTGATCGATTTGAGGATCCGTAAGAAATATAGGTTAGGTTAAAGGACTCGCCGTTGCCGTTTGGTACCGCGCCACTCTGAGACCTCCTGCTCCATTGTGTTCATCCTAAATGAAGAAAATGGAAAGATAGAAAGATTGGTGGAAAAGGTGAAGATATTATTGATAGAAAATATATAAATAATAGCTTCAGTAGTCTCTGAAGAACAATTTTGGAATTTCTAGCAAGGCTTTAAAAACTTAAGGAAATATGATTAAAGGCTTGATTGCCCAGGAAATGATATTACCAACAAACCGCGACTATGACCATGGTAGTCCTTCCTCCGTCCAAATAAATTTCCAATAAAGTCTCTATAGCTTAAGTAGTCTCAAAAAGTCATTCATTGAAGTTTTGGTAAACCCAAAAACATTTTTTAAAAAATACGAGAATATCTTCGAAAGGCCTTTAAAATATTGCAAAAACCATTGATTATTAAAATATTAGATACTGATTGGTAGTTTAGTGCCGTTTTTTATACCCTCCAGCATAGTATGGAGGGTACAAGTTTGTCATTTCATTTGTAACACCTCGAAATATACATTTTAGACCCCACAAAGTATCAGCATAAAATTCTATGTCGATTTAGCGATGTCCGTCCGTCTTCCATCTGTCCGTCTGTGGAAATCACTCTAGCTTCCGAACAAATTGAAGTAGATTGATAAAATTTTACTTAAATGTTTGTTATGTCTGCAGGACTTGTGAGATTGAAAATGGGCCACGTAAGTCCACGTTTTGGTATAGCCCCATATAAAGGTACCTCCCGATATTCGGTATTTTGATGATTTTAGCGACATTATTCACCGGAATTGTTTCAAATTTGGTATTTGAAGTTCGAAATGGATATAACAGACCAGACAGAAAATTGTCTGTGTCGGTCCACGTCTTCGTATAGCCCCATATAACGGTACCTCCCGATATTCGGTATTTCGATGATTTTAGTGACATTATTAACCGGAATTGTTTCAAATTTTGGTGTTTGAAGTTCGCAATGGATACTACAGACTAAGACAGAAAATTGTCTGTGCCGGTCCACGTCTTCGTATAGCCCCAAATACCGGTACCTCCCGATATTCGGTATTTTGATGATTTAAGCGACATTATTCACCGGAATTGTTTCAAATTTGGTATTTGAGGTTCGTAATGGATACTACTGCCTAAGACAGAAAATTGTCATTGCCGATGATTTTAGCTACATTGTTACCGGTTTTTATATCCTACACCACAAGGTGGTCAGGGTATTATGTCTTTGTGAATTTGTTTGTAACAGGCAAAAGGAAACGAGATAGACCCATAGTTCCTTTTGATGATCTGCATAGAATCACATTCTGAGTCGATTTATGCATGTCCGTCTATCCGTCCGTCCGTCTGCCCATGTATTTTTGTAAACAAAGTACATTTCGCATTTAATGCCCTATCCAGATGACATTTTGCGCAAATCATTTGTTTGGCCCAAGGACGAACCCTATTGGAATTGGAGATAATCGGTCAAAATTTAGATATAGCTCCCATATATATCTTCGTCCGATTTGCTTTTTTATTGTGCATCAAACGTGTAATATCAGCCCGAATAGTATGGAATTTTGCACATACGATCAAATTAGGCCTGAAAATAAGTATGCCAAATTGGTTCAGATATAGCTATAGATCCCATATATATTGTTCATCCGATTTGTTATTTTTGCGGAGGACAAAATATGCACTCTGTAACAACAATATTTGGGGAAATTTATCAAATGCAGCTCTGAAATACCTTTGCTAAATTTTATCGAGATCTGTTCAGATTTGAATATAGCTCCCATGTACAACTTCGTCCGAATTACCTTTGATTGTGCACCAAACGTCTAATATATGTCCAAATGAAATGGAATTTGGCACTTACGACCGAATCGAGTCTAGAAGCTAGAAGCTAGTATGTCAAACAGCTATAGCTCCCATATATACTGTTCATCCGATTTGTCATATGTCATAGACGGACATGCATAAATCGACCACAGCCGTAATATGCACTCCGTAACAACGATATTCATGGAAATTTATTAAATACAACTCAGAAATATCTTTGCAAAATTTTATCGAGATGGGTTCCGATTTGGATATAGCTTCCATTTATATCTTTATCCGATTTCAAATTAGTTGTGCACCAAATGGGCAATACAAGTCCGAATTTAAAAGATCCTTCGAACTTTAAATTATAATTATAGCTTGTATGATTGAATTCTCCCATAAAAGCTTTTAATTGTTATGCGGAGCTCTACTAAATTAGCAAAGTGGTGTAGGGTATCAAAAAGTTGGCCTCGCCCGACTTTAAGACCTTCTTTACTGGTTTTTGGATTGTTTCTATTTTTGTTATACCCTCAACCTGGAAAAGGAGGGTATATTAACTTTGTCATTCCGTTTGTAACATCCCTATATATTCGTCGTAGATCCAATAATGTATATATATATATCTATATATATATATATATATATATATATATATATTCATGATCAGCATAAAATTCTATGTCGATTTATCGATGTCCGTCTGTTTGAAAATACGATACAGCCTACATTATTTGACGTGGAGCTTCAAAATTTGGCCCACGTTTTGTTATAGCCCCCATATAACATTACCTTCTGACATTCAGTATTTTGATGATATTTGCCACATTTTTCCACCAAATTTGTCAAAAAATAAATATTTGTAGTTCATAATGGGTTCTAACTCCTGTGGCGAAAAATTGTAAGTATAGGTCGATGTTTTGGAATAACGGGACCCTCCGATATAATCGGTATTTTGATGATTATACCCTCAGCCATATGGCTAGAGAGGGTATATATCATTTGATACAGTCAAAAGGTGTCTAGTCGAAATAAAAGTTTTAGACCCTAGGTCTCTTTAGACCAAATCCGTTTCAGAACATTTGGAGTCGATCTAGCGATGTCCTTCCGTCCGTCTCTCTGTCTGTCTAGTGCGAACGATAACTCTCGTAGGGAGTATCCGATTTGGTCCAAACTTGAAACATAATATTTGTGTCAAATTTAGATCGAGTTCGGAGATGGGCAACATCGGTCCACTCCCAAAATATATTTTCTGCACAGAAAAAGAGAGAGGATAATCCAATTTTGCTCCAACTTTGCAAATCCTAATAATTGTGTCAGTGCTAGGTCAGGTGCGAAAATTGACAATATCGGTCCACTATATCAAGTACCTCCCCCCTAAAGGGTCAATATTTTGAATAATTATAACTCTGCGAAAAAATGTGATGTAAGAGTCCGATTGCCTTCAAATTTTCCCAATAATTTTATTAACCCAAGGTTTGCTGTAAAAATGGAATATATCGCTTTACTCCTTCTGGTACCTCCCCCCAAAAAATATCAAAATTTTCAAAAAAAAAAAAAAAAAAAAAAAAAAAAAAAAAATCTGCACAGAAAGGGAAGCTTTTATCTAATTTTGCTCTAACTTTGGAAATTCAAATATTTTTGTCACTGCTAGGTCAGGTGTGAAAATGGAAAATATCGATTTACTCTATCAAGTACCTACCCCACAAAGGGTCAAATTATTAAATAATTACAACGCTTATAAAATGTGATGTAAAAGTCGGATTGTCTTCAAATTTCACACATCCCAAGATGGTGTGAATATGGGATATACCGATCCTTTCCTTCTGGTACCTCCCAGACAAAGGGTCATAATTTTGAATATCTACGGAGCTTATAAAACATGAAATTAATATCCGATTCCATTCAGACTTGGCGCATCTCAATATTTCCATCAACATAAGATCTCTTTTAAAGATGGTAGAGATCAGACCATTTCTTCTTGTACCTCCCCCCATAGGGTTAAAGATTTTGAGAAACCAAACGCTCCAAGAAAACCAGATAAGTTTAAAACTCTTTTCAAATTCCACACATATAAATAATTTTGCTAACACAAGATCTGTTGTGAAGATGATATATTGCTGGGAACCCCTTCTGGCACCTCACCCACAAAGGGTCACATTTTTCAATACTTTTATTTGTCATAACTTACGAAACAAGTCAACGATTTTTTACAATTTGCTATACCTAAATATATGTCTCTCAACCAGAATCCTGAGATGAATATGGGTTTTATGACGAAGTTACCAATATAGACCAAACCTGGCAAGTCGGAATATTTATACCGTATTTATTTAGGTCGGATATGAGATGGACAATAACGGCCCATTCCTTCAGAACCCACCCCATAGAGGGTCAAGAGTTTGAAGAATCATAATAAATAATCGATCATTGGTTGAGGGTAACGTCTGTCGACAGAACGGACTGATACTTTTTAACTTGTTCTCTTTAAATATTGAAATAGGGTTCTGGAAGTCCCCTAGAAGTTATACTTAAAAATTCACGATTTTTTTTTAAAAAAAAAAAACAAGTTAGAAAGCAGTAAGTTTGGCTGGGCCGAACTTTTAATACCCTAAACCGTTTGCAACGAATTTGGAAATTTTCAAAAAATAAAATCCTTAAGAAATTCTGTTAAAATTTTAAAAATACCGAATATAGCCGTTATATTGGGTTCTATACGACGTGGATAGGTATTGTTTGTCATAAGCCATTACCATATTCAACTTCGAAACTTGAAGTAAACGGTGAATAATGTAGCTAAAATCATCAAAATATCGTATATAAGGAGGTGCCGTTTATTTGGAGCTGTGCGAAGACCTGGACCAGCATAGACAATTTTCTGTCACAGGCTGTAGCATCCATTACGAACTTCAAATACTACATCTCAAACAATTTCGGTGGATATTGTACCTAAAATCGTCAAAATACCGAAAATAGGGAGGTACTGATATATGGGGCCTATACGAAGACCTTGACCCGCACAGACAATTTTCTGTCACAGACTGTAGTTCCTATAACGCTCTTCAAATACCAATTTTGAAACAATTCCGGTGAATAATGTCGCTAAAATCATCAAAATACCGAATATAGGGAGGTACCGTTATATGGGGGCTATACGAAAACATGGACTTGCACAGACAATGTTCTATCTAAGGATGTAGTATCCATTTTGAACTTCAAGTACCAAATTTGAAACAATTCCCGTGAATAATGTCGCTAAAATCATCAAAATACCGAATATCGGGAGGTACCGTTATATGGGGGCTATACGAAGACGTGAACCTGCACAAACAATTTTCTGTCTTAGGATGTAGTATCCATTTTGAAGTTCAAATACCAAATTTTAAATTACTTCCGGAAAAAGGTCGCTAAAATCATCAAAATACCGAATATCGGGAGGTACCGTTATATGGGGGCTATACGAAGACATGGACTTGCACAGACAATTTTCTATCTTAGGGTGTAGTATCTATTTGGAACTTCAAATACCAAATTTGAAACAATTCCGGTGAATAATGTCACTAAAATCATCAAAATACCGAATATAGGGAGGTACTGTTATATGGGGGATATATGAAAACGTGGACCTACATGGCCCATTTACGAACTTAACCTGCCTACTGGAAAAATAAACATGTGTGCAAAATTTTAGCCATCTATCTAAGTTCATTCGGAAGATTGCGTGATTACAACAGACAGACAGACGGACAGATAGACAGATGGACAGACAGATAGACGGACAGACAGACAGACGGACAGACAGACAGACAGACGGACATCGCTAAATCGACTTAGGATTTTACGCTGATCAAGAATATATATACTTTGTTGAGTCTGACATGAGTATTTCGAGGAGTTACAAACGGAATGACAAAGCTAATATACCCTCCATAGTATGGTGGAGGGTATAAAAATATTCAATTTTGTTCCTTTAAAAATAGAGGATATTGTCCTTAAAAAGTTTCCTTACCAATAGACCTGAAAGTTATTCAAAAAATTTTATTTAAAATTATTTCCTAAGAAATACAATATTTTTATCCTGAAAACTTTTTTAAATTTAATATTTTAAAAATTCGGGAAAAAAATTATATGTTTACTACCCTTTTGATCAAATATCTCCTAAAAAATACAAGATTTTTATTCTGATAACCCTTTAAATTGAATATTTCAAAAATCCGTATAAAGTTCATATTTTTACAACCCTTTTGAGTAATTAAAAAAGTGCACTTGTCACAGACACCAAGACATTATCATAATGTCCGATTGATTGAGATCATTTGACATGACCATACATCATTTTTGACATCCCTAAATGTTAATGAAAAATTATGCTCGACACTAAGCCGGCGATAGTTTCAGGAACGATAACATCTGTTGTTGTTGTCGGCCACATGACGACGATAACGATGATGATGCTTTAAGTAAATATGATTTTAATTTCCTCTTTTTTCTCACATTCTCTCTCTCTCTCTCTCTCTCTCTTCCCCAAATTCGCTCTCGTTACGGCATATAAAAATTCCGCATACGCCATAAATGTGTGCGTATGTGCTGTGGTGTATTCGTACGTGTTGTCGTATAATATAATAGAGCCCAAAACGGAATTATTCGGAGAACCTACACGTCATGTAAAGGCCGGAAGTCAAGTGAAACTGCTGTGCATAATTAGCCAAGCACTGGAGCCGCCATTATTCATTAATTGGTTTTATAATCAGAAACAAATATATTTGCATAATCGCAAAGGATGGCGTACAGAAATTGAACGCATTGAATTGCCGCCGGATACAACGACGACGACAACAACAACAACGACCACTACGACAACAACAACCACCACAACTACTGCAATGCCAAGTACAACTACAGCGGGTAGCAGTTCTTCTACTCTTACTCCCATGGCTGCCCCCAGTGGTGCCACAATTTCAGGCGGCGTTGTTACCCCAGCGATTACAACAATGCCAGCCAGTGGTTTTAGTGGCAGCCGTTCATCATTGATAAGCGGAAGTGAAATTCCAGCAGTTCATATTTTAACAACCATAACTCCGCAATCATTAAATGATGGTAATCTTTTAGACATGGTGTCAGAATCCGCATACCAAACCCAGCAGCACCACCACCACCACCACACTAATTTAATACAACCTGAAGCAGCCTCATCAAAAAATTCACAGAAACATGGGCCAGCGACATCAAAGGCAGGCATGGGATCGAGCTCATCATCATCGGCATCATCAGCGGGCTCAACAACAACTGTGGGCACCACTCCGACCGCCAATTCTCCCTCAACGGATGCCAATGAGGCAGCCGCCACGCTAATATCAACAACGCCAGCTGACGAAGAAGATGCTGATGTTGTCGATGATGACGAGTACAGTCAAAGCTCAACTATTATAAATGCAGCAGCAGCGGCAACATCAATGCCATCCCACGAATCACTGGTGGCGGCAGCCGCTGCCGAACGAGGCTACATGATGTTGTCAACACTGATGACAGTTACTGATGTTAAGCAGATTACGGTAATTGATTTTACTTTTTCTTCTTCATTAGTTTTTCCCTTTCTTTTTCTCTCTCTCTCTCTCCCCCTGTACTCACTTCCGCTTTTTTTTTCCATGCTGTGTTTATATATTGACATTTACATAAAAGAACACATACACAGAGAAAAACGCATCATCTGTATAGATATTGCCATAAGATATAACTAGTGTTGTTATTCTTTTTTTTTTGTGTTACATTTTTTATAATGGTATAAGTTTAATATGTTTGTGTGTATGTGTGTTGGGGGGCTAAGTATTTGAGAGTAGAGAACGAGGGTTCTCGCGTGTGTGTGTGCGTTTGTTTCGGTTACACTAATGTATGCATGAACTGGTAGTTGTGGCTGTCGTTATTTTTTATGTGTTAACATTGAGATGGAGTGACTGACATACTGGCGATGAGAAAATCAAAAAAAGAAAAAAAAAAAAAAAAACTTGAAAAGGATGTTTACTTTGGTAAGTGCAGGATGCTGGAGAGTGCATAACTGCATGGAAGATGCGGAGAATCGGATTTTAGTTTGGGCTTCCGTTATCAAAAAATATCAAATATTTTATATATTAAAACTACGAAATTAATTTGAATTTTAAGTGCATTACGAAGAAAAACCACTAAGAAGCCAACAAGGTTGCAGTAAAAAAAAAAAAATAAAATAAAATAAATAAATAAAAAAATAAAAATCTTCCTTAAAATATTATCATAGATAATAGCTAAAAAAGCCGAAATGTCAAAATAAGATGGACAAACGGACGGACACACAAAGCTTCATCGACAAAGCTATACTCTCGAGTCAGATCTTGAAAAAAAAATTTGTGGGAGGTGTTACAATTTCCCCCCAAACAAACTTATAATACCCACAAAATATAGTGCTGTATGGTATGAATAGGGAAGCATTCTATCAGAAAACGCAATTTACTTTACGATTGCTCCCTAATGTCCTAACTACAGCCAAAAAGGGGGCATGGCTTGTTTGCTTTTGCGCCACCGCGTATTTGTATTTGTACTTGTATTTTTTTTTTTTTTGTCTATACTTATTTCCATGTCATAAAATGTATATTTCAAGTGAAAATTATCGGTAACGCTTTTTTACGCGTTCCCATTCTAAGGTCTTCATTTTTAAGCCTCAACCATAGTATGGAGGGTATCTTGCACTTCGACCGTTTGTAACATCTGGAAATACCAATTTTAGACCCCACAAAGTTCATATATTCTTGATCAGCATACAAGTCTATCTCGATTAGGCGATGTCCGTCGGTTCGTCCGACTGTCCGTCTGTGGAAATCACTCTAGCTTCCGAACGAAATGACTTCAGGACCTTTGGTATTGAAAATGGGGCATGTAAGTGCACGTTTTGGTGTAGCCCCCATATAATGGTACCTCCCGATATTCGGCATTTTGATGATTTCAGCAAAATTTGGTATGTGAAGTTCATAGTGGGTACTACAGCCTTAGGCTGAAAATTGTGCGTGCAGGTTCTACGCCATATAACTGTACCTCCCGATATTCGGTACTTTGATGATTTTAGCGACATCATTCACCGGAATTTTTTCAATTGTAGTATTTGAAGTTCGTAATGGATGCTACAGCCTGTGACCTAAAACTGTCTGTGCAGTTCCACGTTTTCGTATAGCAACCATATAACGGTACTTCCCGATATTTAGAATTTTGATGATTTTAGCGACACTATTCACCTGAATTGTTTCAAATTTGGTTTTTGAATGGATACTACAGCCTATGACAAAAAAATTTCTGTGCAGGTCCCGTTTTGGTATAATTCCCATATAATGGTTCCTCCCTGTATTTGGTATTTTGATGATTTTAGCAACATTATTCGCCGATTTTCTTTTTTCAAGTTTCGTATTTGAACATTGTAATGGCTTATGAGAAAAGTTGCCTACGCAGGTCCACGTCGTCGTATATACTTTAATATAACGGCTACATTCTGTATTTTTGCGATTTTAAAAGAATTTTTAACGGATTTATTATTATTATTATTATTATTATTATTATTATTATTATTATTATTATTATTATCATTATTATTATTATTATTATTATTATTATTATTATTATTATTATTATTATTATTATTATTATTATTATTATTATTATTATTATTATTATTATTATTATTATTATTATTATTATTATTATTATTATTATTATTATTATTATTATTATTATTATTATTATTATTATTATTATTATTTTTTTTTTTTTTTTTTTTTTTTTTGAAAATTGCCAAATTCATTTATTTCATTCATTCAGGGTATTCAAAGTTCTGCAACTGTCAAATTTTACTTGTTTGATATATGAATGTAATATTGGAAATTTGATGTCTTGCACTCTGCACAAAAAATGTATATAATCTCACGGATCCCAATATTTTGGAATGTTTTTATCATATATAGAGAGCTTTGGTATACTTCAAGAATCGTTGGTTCAAACAAATGTTTGACGTAAAACCAATTTTTACTATAGTCCGAATATAAGAGTAAACACCGATTTCAGGTATTTTTAACATTTTAGAGAAATTTTGATAAATTTAAAACTGGCTGCGTGGCTGAAAAAAAAAATTAAAAATATCGAAAAACTCTTAGCCACAATACGTGGGTTTTATGCCTAGCCTGAGAATATAAAAATTATATATTCAATATTATTTATACAAATTTATAAAATTAGTGTGGTCTTGATATATTTAATAAACCTCCATTTTGTAAAAATATACCTAAAAGTCGATATTATTTAGAACGGTTTCCGAACGACTCAATAATCTCATCAATGTTTTGAATAACAAAAATATTCCACTGCATGCTACCTCGAACTCCCTCAAAATCACTTGTTTAATGGTCGTATGATTTATATTCATATTAATCACAACTCCGTCAATCATACGCCCTATAAAAAGATGAATGTCTTTCATTTGAATTTCTGCTAAAAATCTCAATAATTTGTATTTAACTTAACGTATCAATAATTCATTTAAATCCGTATAGTATAATCGGTTATTATTAACAACATTCATGACATATTTCAAATAATTTGTTTGTATCTAATTTAAATAACTATTTATTGCCCTACATGGCTCTTTGCCAATATATCAAAATATTTATAACATGCAATAAATATCTTTTGATATGGACAGCAGCAAGCAGTGGCATCGTCGTCATCATCATCATCATTTAACCTAAAGTTGCCTTCGTTTTTTTGTTTAGTTTTTGGTGACTTTCTAACAAACTTAAATAAATTTCCACATAATTTGATTGATACTATTATTACTACAATCTGGTGAAATGTTATTAACATAAATGTCATCGATGGCAACTTAAACGATTTATAATGTTTCCAATGTTACACATAACTTTGATAACGATAATTGATGATTACAGACTACTATCTATTACAGGGACAGTGGAGCCTGAGAAAAAAGGGACATTTTTGGGGTGGTGGTCATACATGGAAGAAATGACCAGCTATGGGAGAAAAAAATAAAACAATATGAGATGGTCGTATGGGTGTATTTAAAACAAGTAAGCAAAGGCTTTAGTTGTGCAGAGCCGAGCATGTGATACCCTACAATACTATAATATGTTAGAAGCCCCCTTATGTCCAAATACATTTTGGAAGATTTCGCTGTTGAAATTATGTCACGGAGCACTGCCCAGATATTACCCTTAGCATTTTGACCAGGGACATTTGCCCAATATTTACGCACTCCGTCGTGCTCCCTCTTCAGGCTTCAATTGTGTGATCAGGATTTTTGTCTGTTTTTGGTTCATTTGAGCCCCTAAATATTTTTCGATCATCTCCAAAAGCAAGAGGCCCTCTGTATCTCCAAATTTAGATTCATCTATACGATTTGCTTGTCTTCGAAATTTGGCTATGTTCGTCAACGAAATCAGCATAAAAAAGCCAGAAGTTCCACTTTCGTGTATTTCGGATATCGCCTATAAGTAATTCTAGTATTTTTTCACACAAAAGTAGTGGTCCATTTTACGCGAGATTCCGTGTTTTTTTGGTTTATATTTATGATCTTATTAACGGCTTAAAAACCAGGAACATTATTGTTGGTCCATTTCAACCCCTAAATATTTTAAGGACATCTCTGAAAACAATAGGCCTACCTCTTTTGCGTCTAACCCTACCCTTGTGAAAATTTTCGTGAAGATCGGACGATAATTGCAATCTGTATATTATAACCCAAACCTGTGTTGTAAGGTGAATAAGGATTACAAAACAAACACTTCAATATTGTAAATCAAATTGAAAAAAAAAACGCATGCGATAAAAAATATGAAAAAATAAAAAAAAAATCACAAAATACTACAAAGTCTATATTAACAACATTATTCGCATACTTTTATGCGATTTTTTAGATTTTACGCTTTTACGCCAAGAGGGCATTCTGAATTGAAAAAAATTTCAAAATTGGACCAGCCATTCTCGATATATAATCATTTTAGCTAACACCCCCCTCCTTTGTATGTATACATTGTATATATTTCTCTATATATCCAATATATTTACTATCGGCATCTACTTAACGGTCAGAATTGACCTGTTCGTCTATTTTGTAATTTCGCCGGGATTAAAAATATTCGCGGTTTAATGGAAAATTTGACTTTTATTTTTTTATTACAAATGTTGTGGTTTATTTCGACCACTAAATGTTATCCGATTACCATAAAAATTGGAAGGCTTCTGCCCAGCTCTAGCCCCATGCTTCGATTGATCTATAATTGTGACCTGTAGAGCAACTGCAAAATCAGGAAATATTTCAGTTTTTGGTCAATTTCGACCCCTAAATATCGTGCGATCATCTCCAAAAGCAATAGGGTTCTATTATGGTTCTAGACCAACCTCCATTCTAACTTTCGTGAAGATCGGGCCATAATTGCGACCTGTAGAGTGATTACAAATTAACATGGACAGACGGACGGACGGACATACATAGCTAGATCGACTCAGCTCGACGAGATAGGAAGAT